GACAGAGCGTTTGGGCAACAATCTTTGGCACCGCAAGAGTCGGGCTTTGCCCCGCGTCTCCCACGACGCTGTGCGAAAGATCTATCGAGGTACATGGGCCGGCGCATGGTTGAGCATATGGAGCTGCATCGAGGGAACTCCATGGAGTTTACTGTGTGAGAATATGGAGCTGCATCGAGGGAACTCCATGGAGTTTACTGTGTGCGACGCTGGTGGATGGATGCAAGCGTGCAATATGAATTTGCTCGCCGTGCAAGTCGGCTTCGTCGTAGTCATCGTCATTGTCATCGTCGTCATCGTCGTCATCATCATCGGACTTCTTGATAACGTTGTTTTCAACTCCATTGGACGGTTTGCCCTCCGTTGACGGTGAAGCGATCGCAGGGGCGGGATGAGCTAGGCCTGCCGCGCCCTGGACACGCTGGGCGCCTCTCTTACGCGGCTTCACGCCTTACGGGGTTTGGCACCACCAGTTTTGCTTTTTTTTATTCCAGCCGTTCCAGAGCGAAGTTTTCCTCCGGCTTTGGGACCACCAGCTCTATGGCGAGGCTTGACTTCTCCGGCCTCTGCACCACCAGCTCCACGGCGAGGCTTGACTCCTCCGGCCTTTGCACCACCAGCTCCACGGCGAAGTTTGATAGGTCCGCCCTTGGTTCCACCAATGTGGACATCGCCTTAATCTCCATTCGTTGGAGACCGCTGCCACTTGTCACACCAGCTCGCGGACTGAAATCGGCGAAGTCGGCGTCGTCTTGGCCACCTTCGGCGACGTCATAGTGCAGGTTGCCGTTACGGCCGTCATAGTCATTTTCGCCGTGGTTGAAGTCGTTTTCACCGTCTTCAAAGTCGGCTTCATCGACAGGCACACCAAACGCTTCATACTGGTTCAAGCCGTAATCGTTGTCGGTGGTGAGGACGCGCATGACGGGGGAGTCCTGAACGAGGAGGGGTTGGGCACAGGCCGCCGAGGCGGCGAAAACCAAGGGGGAAAAGACTCGCATGGTCGCACGAGAATCGAAGCATCGGTCGTCAATTGATTCGACCCAACGACAGGGCCACCCTCTCTGATGGGCAAAATGGCAAGGGCACGCCGTACGCCGACTCGCAGCGCACACGGTGCAACACGTACGTCTCGACACGACGAAGCCTTGCGGTGAGAGCGAAAAGCTGCCGATCGTGGATGCGCGATCGAGCTTGGGGGTGTGGTTTGTTGTATCATCACTTCAGGACACCTTCCTGCACACACAAACTGCAGTGTATTGAGTGATAAACTGCTTGTCGCGTCGTCTTCTACCTGCAATGGATTCATAACAAGCCGAGCTTGCATCAAAATACTAGAAACGCTGTAGGAAATACCTAGAATCGAGTGTCGTAGAAAGCAAACTAAAGCATGATCTCAACATGCATGCTGACGTCGACGTGGCTGGTTGCATTGAAAGCACGATGGCGACGGGGCCATCGCTGCATTCGCTGCGATTTCCGCTCGTCTCGACAAAGTCTGAACACGAATGCTTCTTCCTGCGAAGTGGGGCTCACATACCGCGTGTATGCATGACGAGCCCATGCACTCCAGCGAGCTGAGATGTCGTGGCAGCAGTACCAGGGCTGGGATGAACGTGTGCCCCATCGGTGAAAGCGTGCATGTGGAGCCAAAGCAGCGACTGCACAAGATCGCGAGCTTGGAAAGAAGCCAATCAAAATCGAGTTTGAGAATCGTTGAGTTTTGATTGGCTGCTTTGTTACAGTTGAAAACGATGCCATCCCCGCCGTACTACGCCGCGTTCATGGACGGAAGCGCCGCCCACGATCGCCAGCAAGACTTCCTCCTCAAAGTTCATCGAGTGTACGACGTCTTACTGTATGGTACTCTGTGCACATTGTCTGACATGTGACGCTCAGACGAGCGCTACTGGTGACGTTGAATGCCGCCGCAGGGGTGTTGTCGTTGGCACACAACTTCGCATGGATCACGGGAGGTGGGCGCAGCCACATTTTCCATGCCTCCGAAGGTAAAGTTAAGTTGTGCCTTCGAAACATGACGTACTTGAATTGCAGGGGGCGTGGGCAGCATCTACGTTGACGCAACCCATGTCGTGTTGATCACGAACAACATTGAAGCAAAACGTTTGCTGAACGAAGAGCTCAGCGGCCTCGACTTGCAGGCAATTTCACTCCTAAACAGTCACATTTGCCTTACATGGCACATAGGTATTTGAAGAGCCTTGGCAAAATGCCCAAAATGTCCACACTGTTGCGTCGACGTTTGCCGAGGGAGGTGTAGTCCTGTTGGACATGGACTCCGCATTTGACAACGCTCTGGCGCCTCTTCGCCAAGTGCTAACTCCGCTGGACATTCGCCGATACCGACAATTGGGTCGTGACTGCAGTGCCGTGTTGTCGAATGTGAGTCGATCGATTGCTCGTCCAGGGCTGTCAGAGTGGGCGATCGCAGCCGCCATTTCTCAAGCTGCTGTAGCCAAAGGAATCGACGTGGTGGTGCTGTTGGTCGCAGCCGACGACCGTGTTGACGCCATTCGCCATCCATTGCCCACGACAAAGATCATACAGAACAAAGTCATGTTGGTGCTCTGCGGTCGCCGAGGCGGCCTCATTGCATCGTTGACTCGCCTCGTGCACTTTTCCCAAGAAGTGGCTATCCCGGAAGATCTTCGCCAACGCCACGATGCGGTAACGTTTGTCGATGCGATGGCGCTGTCGGCGACCGCGTCCCCCAGCGCTTCGTCGAGCAATGTGTTTCGAGCTATGCAAGGGGCCTATGCTGTGAAAGGATTTGCAAACGAATGGACGTTCCACCACCAAGGTGGCAGCACAGGCTACAAGAGTCGCGAGTGGAAGGCATCGCCTACATCGACGGTGCAGTCTCTCGTGTCGGATGTGGAGCGACAACGGAATGCTTGGTAGGATCACATCGGACCAAACCAAGCGTATGCGTGGAATCCGTCGATTGCCGGGACCAAATCGGAAGACACGGTGTTGCTGCACGAGGACGGACAAATCGAGGTGTTGACTGCCGTCGACGAGGCGTGGCCAAAGGTCCACCACACGATCGACGGCAAGACATATGCTCGCCCGGACATTCTCCACATCCAAGTTGATGCCTTTGGCAATCCTGTGCACAGCTCGACCGCGTGAGCGCTGCCGCAGACGAGGCGTTCCGTCTCCCGTTCGCAGCGACCTTTGTCGCCGCACGCCTTGGTTGAATGCGAGTGTTTCATTGGTGCAAATTCCAATTTTTGTCCAATCATATGGGCCAAACTCCATTTGCAGGCCAAAACCAGTCATCTGACCGAGGATAGGGAATTTCAATCGAGCCAATCAAAAGCAGGCAGCTCCATTTTAAAATAATCTCTTGCTTTTTTTAAGGACGTGGGCGAAATATAAAAACCCAGCGCCCCTCTTTTGACTGGTTGGTAGTCGGAGACGCGCGAGGCATATTCGGCCCCAGTTTTAGTTTTCGGGGAACTAATCAGCACCAGTCGCGCACCATGGTACGACGCGAGCCGTGATGAACGCCGGGACGAGACCAAGGAGGCATGATGTTGATGAGGTTGTGTATGTGTAGCCGCCTAAAACCCAGCAAAAGACCAAGGAACAAAAGATGGCCGCTGCCATGGCCGGTGGCCGTGGCAAGGGCAAGAAAAAATGGTCCAAGGGCAAGGTCCGTGAAAAGACCCAGAACAAGGTCTTGTTTGACCAGGAAACGTACGACCGCATGTTGAAGGAAGTGCCCAAGATGAAGTTGATCACTGCCTCCGCCGTCGTCGAACGTCTCAAGGTCAACGCCGCGTTGGCCCGCTCGGCTATCAAGGAATTGGAACAAAAGGGCGACATCAAGGTGGTCACCAAGCACCGCTGCCAATTGATCTACACCCGCTCGGTCGGTACCGACTAAGTTATCCAACCACGGCGGCGCAGATAGTGTACCAGATTCGAACCTCGTCAACATGTATTGATTTGTACCAATGCAGTCAAGTGGCGACGAAGGTCCATGTCGGCGTGCAAGGAAGCGTGGAGAGTGTGGCTGATGCTAAGCGGAAGAACCAATTCACTCATTTCCCCATGCTCTTTTTTGGTCATTTGTTGTTGCGTCAGGACTACCTTTCAACGGCATGGTTGCTTTCACGATGCGCTGTGGGAGGCACGTATCCAATCTCGATTAGTTTGCTATGGTGTTTTCGTGGGATTGTTCTTTCTGAGCGCGACTATTCGCTACCTGCTTGTGCTGTCAGGTGCGCTATTCAGCAAGCGGTGGGGAGTTGCAAGTCGTTCCACCTCCGCGCCGAATTGCAGTATACGACACGTCGTCCGACGGTTTGAGCGGACCGTGTGAAAGCGTATCGACTATCGATTCATGTCCTACGGGTGCACCTTCCCGTCGGCATGGATGCTCTTTCGTAGGTGGCGTCACACCCGGTCAAATCCCATGACATCTTCGTTGCTTTGACATCTACGACATATGTCATGATGGATACATACGTCCATGTTCACTTAGATGCGCTTGGGTACATGCGCTTCGTGCTCGAGTCGCGGGGGAGTGACGTCAGGTGCACCTCGCGCAACTTGACCAAGTCACACGGTGCAGAGAGATTTTCGACATTTTGAACGTTGTAAAAAAAGTCCACGGTCCGACTTGGAATGATCTAGAACAATGTAAGGGCCACGTACTTCAACAAGGAATTGGGAATAATAATATTGGGTCATCTACTTCAACGGACCTTCCATCCGTCAGTTTTAGTTTTGCGACATCATGAACACACCTGACGCCGTCGCCCCACCGACGCCCAACGAGGGCGAATCCATCAAGCGCGTCAACTCAGTACGTTGCCAGAGAATATACATGTTGTCTCCGATATCTGGTGGCTCACGACAAACATCGCTGTCCATGTGTAGGAGCCCACCCTAGCCGTGTCGGAAGAGGAAAAAGTAATTGACATCACGGAAGGACCGATCGCGTTTCGAAAGGCCCATGTCCGCAACAACAACCCACCTGCCGTGTCGCCAGCAGTGCGCGCAACGATTGAAGAAAATGTGCGCAATGTATACAACCCGTTCATTTCGTCCATGCTGTCGCAATCGTCAGACCAGTACGAAGGCCTGAGCAACGCCCAGCGAATTGAGAACTTCCTCAACACGCCGGCATACTCGGCGCGACGAAGCACCCAAACCATCAGTGCGTCCGAATTGACTCCGTTGACTGCCGCAAAAAGGGAAGCCCTGTCCAAGGAAACAACATTGGGCCAAGCCTTCCTCGCTCTGCTCAAATCGTTTGTCGGAACGGGTATTTTGTTCCTTCCCCAGGGATTCAAGAGCGGTGGCATCGTGTTTTCCCCGTTATTGCTCGCGATTGTGGCGATTTTGACCCTGTACGCCATGTTTCGCTTGATGGCGTGTCGTGAACTTTTGGGCGGGTCGTACAGTCACATTGGCGAAGTGGCGTATGGCAAATGGGGCTCCCGAATGGTCCAGATTTCGATCGTGCTCATGCAATTCGGATTTTGCTGCTCGTACATCATCTTTGTCGCCCAAAACATGAACCAAGTGTTGGCATATTTTGGCTCGAACGTGTCGGTGGGTGCATTGATCTTGCTTCAAACCCTTGTCTACGTGCCGCTGTCGTGGATTCGCTACATCAGGTACGCATGCTTTCTTGAGTGAACGCGACCATGCTGAGCTGTGCTTTATGTAGTTACTTTTCGATCAGCAACTTGATTGCCGATGTGTTTATCTTGTATGGCGTTGCATACATTTTGGGCACGTCGTTCACGTCGCTGGCCGTCCAAGGTGTCCAGCCCGTGCAATATTTCAACCCGCAAGACTACACGGTGTTCATCGGGACTGCCGTGTTCACTTTTGAAGGCATCGGGTTGGTGATCCCCACGCAAGCGTCGCTGACGAAGGATCGGCAAAAGCAATTCCCGGCGCTCTTGGTCTGGACTGTCATGGGCTTATTGGCCTTCTACTGGATGTTTGCATCGGTCAACTACATGGCGCTGGGCGACCCGATCCAGCCCCTCGTGTTGGCGAGTCTCCCGCGCAACGGGTGGACCATGAGCGTGCAATGCGGTTGGTCGTTCGCTCAATTGCTGTCGTACCCGCTGTTCCTCTTTCCTGCCGTCAAGATCATTGAAGACATGCTGCAATTGCCGCGCCGGTCGTCTGGACAAAAGGTGCAGAAGAACGTAGTGCGTGCGGTCATTGTGGTCGTCACGATCTTGGTTGCGTACTTTGGTCAAGATCGCTTGGACTTGTTTGTGTCGATCGTCGGCGCGTTTTGCTGCGTCCCGCTCAGCTTTGTGTATCCGCCGTTGTTTTACCAGAAGATTGTCAAGAACTCATCGTTTGTGTACAAGGTGCTGGACTGGTCGGTTGTGTGCATTGGCATCGGCACATTTGTCTTTGTCACGTACTCGAACATCCAAAAGTGGGAAGCGCCGACGGCGGTGTAGATAGACGATGCTGCTGTCGTGATCTTGTCGAAAAATCACATTGGTTGTTTTTTGGCACATTTTGGTGCCTTTTTCAGCTTGACTTTTTTGACAAAATATACGCAAGCCATGCCAAATTTCGACGAATGACAACGGGCCATTCCATCTTCGATTTCACCACCGTCGACGGCGGCAGCGACTTCCGATGCTGTTCCAGCACAAGAGGTGCGTCGGTCGTCGATGGAACGTTCGTTCAGCACGCGCATGACTCTTCCGTGAATGTAGCCCGGTCATTCGGGGCCTGAGTTGGATTCCCGTGGGACTCGTGACCGCCCTCATTGTCCTGGAGTACATTGTGTTTGTCCGGTTTCACATCCGAGCCAAGCTCTTGAATGGCGACGACTCGTTTGGGCTCTTGTTCGAGTTTGTCGTGTTCAATTCGCTCACGGCCGTCACAGTGATGTCGTACTACCGGGTCGTCACCACAGGTACCGCGACATCCTAACGTCTCTTCTTAAACGGGGTGGTCAGACCCAGGCTTGATCAACGACAAATTGGCCGACTACTTACGCCAACGCGCTCAACACGCCGGTATTCAATTGCCCAACTGCCGAAGTTGTCACAAACCAAAGCCGAGTCGCGCCCATCATTGCAGCATCTGCAAAATGTGCGTCGTCAAAATGGGTACACGGTCGTCGATGACGCGTCTCGATCCTGATGCGGTGGGCAGATCATCATTGTCCGTGGGTCGGGAACTGCGTCGGGCTGCGAAACTACAAATACTTCTTCTTGTTCGTCCTGTACGGCGCCGTCACGTGCAGCTGGATCGTGCTGCGCCTGTTTGAGGTACGCCATGCGTCGACAACCGACTCGTCCACATGCCCTCTCCACGTAGCCATTCTTCCGCGCGGTGCATCACATGGACAGCACCCTTCCGCTGCACGCAATCTTGGCATACGTCATGGCTGCAAGTGTCACGTTATCCCTGTCGCTGTTTGTGTGCTTCCACTCGTACTTGATCTGGAATGGCCAGTCGACGCTCGAGCTCAACGTGTACGGCCGACGCAGCCCATATCGATATCGCCAGGTATGGCACGTGTACAGGTCCATCCATGACGCGTGTGTCCTGCAGTTGTCGGAGAATTGGCGCGCCGTGTTTGGCTCGACATGGCACACGTGGATGCTTCCCCTCGTCCCCGACAACGCCGACCACGACTACATGATGTGGACACGGAGCCACGACGTCGAGCGATCGTACGACGATGACGACTCGGACGTGAGTTTGATTCTGTGAGTTGGCGACCCATGTCGAATGCACAACGCTTTTGACATGTTGAGCCACCGTGCCGATATGAAATGTTGAGGCAGCACGTCCACCGCCCGAGATCGCGTTTGTACCCCTTGCGGAATGCCGCAGCGAGCCTCAGTAGTGGTGCGTGGTTGGATCGATGACGAGGTCGACTGCGAAAATCTTCGCTTGGCGTAGTCCGAATACGGGCTACGACGAGTAGAGATGTACTTCTGGTGGCCAGTTGACACACCGAGAGTGGCGAGGCGTGCACGAGCGCGCACGACGTAGAGAATGTTGTGAACGATGAATTCGCTGTACAGGTCCATAACATCCATCACCAAGTTCCACATCTCGACGAAGAGGTTAGCACCACCAGCACGGCCTCGCACTGGACCCATTCGATGAAGCAGTCGGACGTAGCTTGGTGGGGCAACTCCACTATCCCCAATTTCCCACAATTAGCGTGCGCAATGCCCACATACGGCGCGGCACCACGACGTCGAATGCTCCTAGTAGACACGGTTTTCATTCACCTGTTCTTTCGACACGAAAAGCTTCTAAATATATGGATGCCACAGCGCCAATGCCTTAGTTTGCGTCTTCTTCGACCTTGGGCGCCAGGTAGTATCGGATGTACCCCATTTCGCCGATCGCGTATTCGATCACGACGGGGACACCAGGTGACATGGACAGGGTCACGGTCGCACTCAAAGGCGTCGCCTTCGTGAACATGTTGAGGTATCGCAAAGCAAACGTAAGCTCCACGGGCTCTTCCATGTGAATGATCACGCGGTCTTCTTCCTTTTCAGCAGCTGCATTGTTCTTCAACGTGATGTTGCCGTTACCCAAGTCACCCGACACACTGAACTTGACGCCTTCCTTGCTCACGCTGATGGTGCACGTGTCGCCCATCGTGTGCAAGTCACGGCAAATGCGTTGGAATTCTGACGCAGGCATGCGTACGGTCGCCACGTATTCGGTGGACGGAATGCCCAAATGTTCGCTGTCAATGTCCATCAACTTGAGGCCAAAGTCGGAGACACGATCTCCCGACGATGCTTCGAACGTAATGTTGAGGACGTCGCCTTCGTCTTCCGCCGACAGCGAGAGCGCATCGTCGTTGCCCGAGCACTTGAGAATCTTAGACAACGACGCAGTTTGAATCCCCAGCGAAATGTTGCGGTCGCATCGGTAGTGTTCAAACCCTTCCGCACGCAACAACAACGATACCAACGACACGTGCGACCCGTCCATGGACTGCAAGGCCAAGCCAGACTTGGTGCAGTCAATGTTACCTTCCGAGATCAACTCCTTCATCGCTTCAATGATGAGCTTGACGATCTTGCCTTGGGACAATCGGGCTTCAAACATGTTGCGCTTGTCGAGCGAAATGGGAAATGCCCGCCTTCTCTCGACTCGACCGCCAACGACCCAATCAAATCCGTCCCCTCCAAATCTGCGCGGCAATTCCAAACGGATCCGGATAAGGCGGGGATGGGAGTGCCAAGCATCCGGAATCGTGTCCGCAGGTGTATCCGGATTTGACACTTTACGTACAGATGTTCACAACCAGTACAGTAGTACAGTGTCGAAAACGGACACGTTGCACAGACGAGCTGACGCCGCTGGGAGAGTGCCGGATGGCCAAGCAGTCGCTATGGAGTCGGGAAAGGAATGTGCACGCGTTGTGTGGCTGCGCTGGTTTGCTCGATTTACCGCAGAGACACAGGTTGCTTTAGGTTGGTCATGAGATTTGTACCCGACAATCGAAACCAGAGAGAGACAGCATTGTCCTGGAGGGGCGAAAGGATGGCTGCAACTCAAGAACAAGGGTCGTCGTGCGTAATATTTGTACGTCCACACACTGGACGTAACTCGACTCGAAAAATGCTTCGGCTGGCAACACTCGCTCACGGTGTACTTGGGAATATGTAGTCCAAAACGCAGCGGACGGCCGTGAAAATGGGAGATGGTCATGGCAGGGACCACTCAACTGCCCTTACTGCACACCGAACCAATCTCTCGTCCAGACTGTGGGAAACCTGCACGCCAACATCACGAAGCTGTGGTATCTCGAGAGGGGTGGGCCACATCGGTCCTCCTTTGCCAGTGACATCGATCTGGCGCCGCAACTACCCCGCGCACATCGATGTCGCGTCATCCCCACGCATCAACAGAACGACGACCAAGACACTAGTCTGACTCTTGGCACATTTCTCGCACATACGGATCCCATGCATATTCAGTACAATTGTTCAGTTGTGAAAAATCATGAATTTTACCCTGATTTCAGTATGATAAATGAAAATTCCGTACGAATCTTTTTACACCAATGTACTTGGACAATGTATACTGTGTACAAACTATCTATGCCACGGTCGGAACGAGGTACCTATTTATGCGAATCTACGTTGCAAGTTCAATTCAATTTGTTGTCCGCTGCACCGGCGCACGCCGCCGACCGGAGGCCACTCGACAACATCCACTGCAGCCACCAGCCACCCACAGGGACGATGGACGACACCCAGCGGCCATCGTTCTGCTCGTTTGGCACCAACAAACTGTCGTGGACAGAGGGCCGACGGTCGAGTTTGTGCCTGGACTCGCTCCACCTCTTGGACTCGATGCCGAGATTCCAGAAGGCCCTCGTGTCGGCAAAGGTGAAAGGCACGCCGCAAGTATGTCCTGACCGCCCGTCGTTCTACTTTACCAACTACACCATGCATATGACGTGCCCAACGACAAATGTGTTCTGGGTCGTCCGACAGCGCTTCTCGCAAGTATACGCCAACCGCAAAGCCATCTTGGCAGCTTCGTCCGACAAGTGTTCTGCGGAAGGCAGATTGCTCCTCCGTGGTCTCATGCGTCCCTTGCGAGTGTTTCCCAAGCGACGACTTGGCGTCGACTGCGACGCTATCGTTGCAGAGCGGTGCGAGGGCTTCCGCAACTACATTGCTGCCCTTTTCCACGTTCGTGAGGCATGCTATGTGTCGTTGGAGACAGCGGATGCATCGACCACCGTCGTGCTTCGACGAACCATCAAGCTGATGGAACAGGCCGTTGAGATGCCAGAGCTACACAAACGCGAGGAACTCAAGTGGCGCGACCGGCTCTCGCGCATGCACACCCACGAAGCGTGCCCTGACGACGACAGGACGTGCTCGATCTGTCTAGAAGACTTCGAAGAGTCTGCGCCTGCCTTCACCAACATCCGCCTCGGGTGCAATCACGCGTTCCATCTCGACTGTGTGTCGACATGGCTCACGCGACACGCCACATGTCCTCTGTGTCGTGTGAATGTGTAGAGTATGACTAGAGGCATGAACTTCTCCAACGACCTCCACATTTCGTGGCGTTTTTTGCACACTGTCGTGACAAGGGAGTTGTTGCCTTCGTGAAGCTAGCTCGAGTGTACCTGATGAACTCATCTGAGGTATGTCCTGGCCCCATCGAGTACCATGCGTTCTCTTGTCCATCGGCTTGGACCCACCTCATGTGCAGGCATCTTTATCTTCTCGGCAGCACGTCTCCATGGGATCGCACGTAACCCAATACCATGCGGGTCGTAATATCTTGCTCTTCCTCACCGGCTGCCCTCAACGACACATTCCTCGAGAACTTGAACGATTGAAAGGAGTGCATGCTGGGCCAGATGCTGTTAGCCTGTACTCGTATGATGGTTGGAAGCGCTGCCGTGGGCTGATGGAGCGATGTGTGTCGTTGTCTGTACCGCCATAGTTGGACCTCAACGTGGTTTCGCCGTGACATGGCGCCGTAGAAACCAAGCCGTAGTCGTGAAAAGCTGACGCTCCAAGCCAAGCACGTGGGGAGGCGCCAGGTCATGCTGAGGTAGATGCCGTTCCACGCGGCGAGGCATCACCGCAAGCGCCATCGACGGTGCGACATGCTATTTCAGACAGACCAGACCTCCTTCGTATCTGAGGAACCAACATATCACGCGACTTGACAGTATTCCAACTTTCAACGGGCCTTAATATAGTTGGCTATAGATAGCCACCGAGGCACGCACTGGGGGCATTTTGCAATCGTCTACGTGAGAAATTGCGCCGACCATGCCTTCGACGTACATGACTTCGTGCGCAATGATGGACTGCAGGCGGTTTGCCAAACACCGAGGCATGTGCCTCTCCCACTACCGAGCTTGGATCCACCTGCAGCAGCACAACCATCACCACCTTGATCCACATCCCGTCCCCACGTTGTACACGTCCATCGCTCGATCCGTTTCTCCATCGATTGCATCGTCGTCGTCGTCAGGGTCGTCACAAATGTCTCCCAGGTCGTACCGAGAAAGCTTGGCCAAGGTGCTGGCAGAGCGTCATCGGCCAAAGGAACCAAGCGATGCTGACGACCGAGGTGCGGCTCGAATGGCGACGCTCAAGACACGATTGATCCTTCGTGAGCGCCTCCGTCAGCGTGAAAAGGGTCCCGTTCGGTGCTGATGGGAGGCTGGACCAAACTACCATAGTTTCGAGTAGAGATATTTAACGAGCACGGTGCCAGGGATCGCTGGAAGAGTTGCGCTCGCGTACGAAATCACATGAAGAATGTCGCATCTCCCATCCTCACGAGGAAATGCGGCGAGAGGAGCCACAGTATGCAGTAGAAGATCTCGTGCACCTTGCTGGCCAATGGTTACAGGTCGCATATTTGAAAGCAGCCGTGCAAACTGCCACGTCCAGCTCCTCTCGTCTACGACTCCTTCGCTTGTATCCCTATGCACTCTCTTCATCTCCATTGTCCCTTCAACCGCACGTGCATCATCGCAGCACTTGTCGCGGCGGCGGCTGCCTTGCCCCTTCGCCTCCACCTGTTCAACCGCACGACATGACCTCCGAGCTTCTGATTGGCGGTGACATGTTCGATTTTCAGCGCGAAACATGGAAGGTTTGTATAACATACTTTAATCAAGTGTATAGTACTGGGGGTATCCGGATGATATCCTGTTTCCGGAGAAAAAGGCGCCTGCCCAATTCATTGTTGAAAACGTGCGATGGCCGGCAAGCCGACGAGTGTGAAGACGCCGCCCCCCGCTCCGGAGGACTCACCCCAGAAGCCAGGGTGCGACCTCAAGGAAGAGCGAAGGTGCAATGACATCATCTTCGCCATCCTCTACCTCGGGTGCCTTGGTCTTGTCATCGCGCTCTTTGCCATGTACGCGGGTGAAGTCCTCAAGTACAACGGCGACGAGTTGAAGCAGAAGCAACACAAGTACCGCTATGCGCTTCAGATTTGCGCTGGGATTGCTGGCGCGTCCGTCGTCCTTTCCATGATTTGGACTGGGGTCATGTTAGTGATGGGAAAGCTCCTCATCTGGATCGCAGCAATTGTTGCCATCGTCGGCGTGTTTGCTGCGGGTATCCTGGGCTCGTATTTTATGAAGGATGGCGGTGATGACACGTTCTTCTGGGTGCCTGCTACGTTGGGCACGTTGTTGGCGGTCATTTTGACGATTTACGTGTGTTGCATCCGCCGCCGTATCGCGTTTGCGTCAGTCAACCTCAAAATTGCGTGCCGTGCCGTTCTAACGTACCCTGTGCTCCTCTTGATTGCTTTCGGAATGACAATCGTGATTGCTATCTGGTGCCTTGTCTGGTCTGTCGCCACGTACGCGACGATGAACCACGGCGAATACATCTTGAGCAAAGTCCCCGAGCTCAACGCATCTGCCCATTTGAACCCTGACGGGTACGGCACCACGCAACGTTTGAGCATCTTCTTTGGTATGTTGTTGGTGTTTTTCTGGACGGTCTTCGTTGTACGCAACATCGTACATGTGACGGTATCGGGCACGGTCGCGTCGTGGTGGTACAACTCGGACGAAAACCGCAAACCGATGACGAGCACGACCGCGCTATGCCGTGCGATGACGCTGTCGTTTGGATCGATTTGCTTCGGGTCGTTCATCGTGTCTGTGATCGAAACGATCAAGGCCATTGTGATGTTCTTTCGCCACCTCGCGTCCAAGAGCCAAAACGCCGTTGCAGTCTGCCTCTTGGGCTGCCTCGAATGCATCATCGGGTGCATTAGCCGCCTCGTCCAGTACTTCAACAAGTACGCGTACTCGTACGTGGGCATCTACGGGTTCAGCTTTCTGCGCTCGGGCAAGGAGACGTGGGAGCTCTTTGACAAGATGGGCTGGTCGGCCATCGCGAACGACTCGCTCATCGACAACGTGCTCATGGTCGGTGCCGTCATGGTCGGGTTCACTGGCGCCGCCGCAGGCAACTGGGCCGTCAGCTACGACAAGCACCACAACAGCTCGATGTGGACGCAGAACCTGTCTCATCCCGCCCTCACCCTCGGTACGTCTGGGTTCTTGATCGGGTTTGCCATCTGCTACATCGTGATGAGCGTCATCAACTCGAGCGTCGCGACCGCGTTCGTCTTGTTCGCGGAAGATCCGCAATCGCTCCAACGATCGCATCCTGAGGACCACAACGACCTCCATGCCGCATGGAAGGAAATCTACCCCGTCGAGTACGCTGCCAGCAGCCAGCCGGGCGGTGCCAAGGCAGGTGTTGACGCCAACAAACCCACGCAACACGTGTAATCGGTTCGCTGTTCCTGCGTTGAAGTAATAAAGAGCGTGAACGTCGTGCAGACGATGGAGATGAATTGTATTGATCGATGTCGAGATCATGGGACCCACTTCTTCAGGAACTCTGCGACCTTGTGCTTGTACGTGTCGGGAAAATCCATCAAGTGTCCTACATGCGGCGACGTCTCAAAGTTCACTTGGTCCACGGGCGTCCCCAACGCGGCGGCGGTGGCAATCGCCTCTTCAACTTCCTTGGCAGTGATGATGAAGTCGTTGGACGAGTACAAAAACAGTTTTGGAATTGTTGCGTCTTGGACAATCAATTTGGCAATGTTTCGTTGCAATGGGTCCGGGCCCAATGGTCCTGCCCACCGCAAGAGCACCGCGGCGCACCCCGCAACTAAAACAGACTGTGCCATCCATCGACGAAAGGGGGACCTCATGGACGACGTGAGATCGTGCAATGCCTTGGTCGGGGAGTCCCAAAAAGCCGCAAATCCTTTGCCCGAGTTTGGCGATGAATCAAAGATCATTGCCGGAACACGGAATCGTACGCCTCGATGCCGCAGATGACGTTCCATGCAGTACCAAGATATACACCCGCCTCCCGATATCATATGAGGGATGATAATGAGTTCTTCCGACGAAGAGGTACACTCCACGGCCACCCGCGCGGCCGACTTTGTGTGGATCCATGCAGGGGGCAGGAACAAGTGACCAACGTGTGACTCGACGACCTCCGTGCAATATCCCAGGCGCTGAAAGAGGTCTGCATACTTGGTCACTCCTCGTGAAGGCGCGTGCATCCACCCGCAGACGAGCACCATCGGCACCTTGCCCACCATTTTGGTCGGCACGGTTGACGAAACGTCGCACCTCTGGAAATGCATGAGCATTTCGTGATAAATAGAATCACAGAGTAAATAGAGTTTGATAGGTCTCCAATTCACCACAAGCAGCGGCAAAGCGAGCGAATGGCGCTGAAGGAGATGGTGGGCATCGCCACGTTGGTGCAAGCCAGCACTTACGTGCCTGTGCTGGACCTCTACATTTGTGCGAGATGATAGAGCGCTTGGTGTCAGGTTCACTCTGGAAGACGGGTTTGCCTGCCATGCTATTCAAGCGCACACAACGTCCATCGTCGACAAACGACACATCACCACCGTCCCAAGCTCGAGGCAGTGTAGCCCGCATGGATTGCCATCGTGTTAGTACTTGTCGTGGTTCTTTGCCTGTATCCGGAACAAGATGTCCGTTCGCATCACATACTTGCGGTTCGCAATTGCATCATCGATGTGTTGCAATGGAGACCCTGCGTGGAACAAGCAGTGCTCAAACAGGACAACGCGGCCAGTCTTTGGCACAACACCCACGGCGTCGTCAGTGTTGTCTGGGTTGATGTACAGCGTTTCGCCGCCATGAAAATCCACGCCACCGCCGTCGTTCAAGTAGATGAGCACCGTGATGAGGCTCTCGCTTCCTATGCAAGGAAATGATGGAGGGTCCCGTAATCGCATCGACTCACTCGTGGCTTCGTCCGGGACAATCCGATCGTAATGCGCGTCGAACCGATCAGATCCTTCGTACCGAAGCAAACGGAGGCGAGGCGCCAATCCCAACGGCATGTCACACCCTTCGCGTTGCGTGTACCTACATGACGGTAGTGGCATAGTTCCCATTGTTGTGCCTTGGTCCTCACTTGTAAATCGACGCAAACGCCTCGCTGTCCATAAGCCGCTGCCAAATGACGTCGGCAAAGCGCTTGTTCTCCATGACAGACAAGCAGTACTCTGTCTTGGACGTGCGCTGCTCGCCTAGTGGGTGCAAACGGGAGAGCGCGCCGCTCACGCTCTTAAGCGCCGGTGACATGCGAGTGATCAACGCACGGCACTCCGCTTCCGTCAGGACAGAGTCCAGGACTTCGAACATGATGTCTTCCTTCTCGCATCCGTACCGATGCACATTCGCCGGCAGTGTCGGCTTCTCTGCCAGCGTTGGCGCAACCATGTTCAACACGAATGGCTTCGCAACTTGGGCACATGGAATCGACATCATCCGGATAATTGTTTCTCACAACAACAGTACTACTAGTACTAGTATGCAAATATATTCCAAAATCGGATATTCTATATATAGTGCGATTCACGAAAAATACACCGCTGCATGGATTATCCGTTTAGGAAGTGCAAGTGGGCTTGTAGCGCCTCCATGTTTGCCAGGAATCGGTAAAAGCTCTCGACCGACATCTCAATCGTTTCCGTGGTCGCGTCCAGTTGAATGCGAAGTTGAACGTAAGCAGTGCCGAGCTAAATAGAGAAGTTCAGAGTATTCGATGAACTGCGAGCTCAGTACGATGCACCTCCGGTACAAGGTTCGTTGCGGACGTGACGCCAACCTTCCATGTCATGTCGATAAGTCTGTTGGATGCAAGCATCACTTGATGCACTCGTTGGAGGAAATCGGAACGAGAGTTCTCCCACTTGGACGCAAACAACTTGGCGGGGGCCAAATCCACGCCTGAGAGGAGATATAGTCATCTTGTAAGCAGATCCTGTGCAACGAACCTGCATGCGTGAGATGCTCAAGGAAGTCGCTCGCAGTCTGACTCAGTTGAATTGCATGACCGAGCAGCTCCAGGATATGTTGGATCGTTTTCTACCACATCGCTGTCATGCATGGGGAACGGTATAACCTGAACGAGATGTGCACGATCGTACCTTGAGTGGTTTGATGTTCATCTTGTGTATCGCAGCAAACTCATTGGCGAGCTTCGCCAGGTCATGGTCCTGAGCACCAAGCGTCAGTGGACGTCGGAGGAACAGCACACATGAAGTACTTTGGGGGACGCCGAGTACTTGAACATCAGTGTTGCGAACTCTTCCTGCATCAATTCGGACATCGCGTTCACGTTGGTTGCCATGGCGGCCGACCGATGCGAGCCTATTCCCCGATCTTCGTTGTGTTCAACGCAATATGTGGCTCGTGATCGATTGGATGAAAATTGATGTGTTTTCAGCCAATCGTACGTGATACATGGCAGAAAAATGCGACAGTGTTTCTCTCGTTTGCGTCCAAAATTGCAGCCAAAAGGTGGGCGTCGAGAAGTCGAATCCACCCTCGCGGGCTACAACCGCCTGCATCTCAAGCATGGCGGATATCCCGACAATGATACCGGCGCATTCGCAGTCAAGTCTAGTTTGAGAGGCACAAAAACGGTGTATGTTGTGCCTATTAATTAGTAGAAATTGTTTGATACAAGCCAATAAATATGGTGAAAAGCATAATGTGTAGCCAATCAAAATCAATTTCCGGATTTACATTGTCTTCTATCCGGATTTGACGTTTGAAATGCTGTTGGGGTAATAATGTACAGGTAGCCGCAGATGATCGGCCGGGGGCGGCCACTTTTTTCTCGACAGAGATGAACTCCGAAGCTACCCTTGCGCATGACGAAGAACCGCATGAGGCAGGATGCCCATCGCCCCACAAGGGTCCCCAGAGAAACGAGGAAGCTTTTGTGGCAAGCAGCACCCCAACCGACGATGGCAACCATCGACCAACCCGCAAGGGCAATCGTGCTGTTCATCAAGTTCAGTCTCGCTACATGGACATCGAACGCAGCACCAACTACGTTCGGAATCGAAACGAGCAGCTGAAGCGGCGCCGCGAATTGGAAAAACGCAACAGCGACCGTGCTATCGAACGTATGCAGCAGACACGAGCCACGTCAGCTCTCAAGGACAACCAAGAGCAGATCTACCGCAAGTGGCTGCAAGACAGCAATGCAGACGCGCACCGTCTTCAAAATCCAGCGAAAGATGCATTGCTCCGAATCAAACCTTCGTTGGTCAAGTCGGTATCGTCCAAGGCAGCGTAACAACGCAACAGGTGGAATCACTCTGTACGTCGTCAGTCTCTCCATCGGATGTGGTGGCTTCCGTTTGGACATTTTGACCGGCGACGCAATCCTTTGCCTGTCATGCCAGTGTGTGGCATGCGCTGTGCATTAATATCCATCTAGACCGCTACACGTTGCATGTGGCTGGAAATCTACGACTAAGACAGTGCCAATCAAAAAACCGACCTCAACCCGCCTATTTCAAAGCGCGATGTATTGTTGGGGCGAAGCGGGCATGTGTTCTCGAGTTACCAGACCAGCCCGTTGACAAACGATTGATCCTTCATCCCGTCGCGGCTTCAGCGATAGTTTGAATCTCGGATGGCAACTGAGATGCGAGTGCACTTGTTCGCTTCGTTAGAACTCCGACTCGGTAAGGACCAGTGCATAGCGCACTTCGTGGGGCGTGAAGTTGGCATAAAGTCGGCTGACCACGTCCAGAGCCTCTTTGGAAGTTTGACTTCGTCCCAGAAATGGCCGAGGGGCTTTGTGTCGAAGGACGTATTCCCGCTCGATGGGAAATCGATGCAGCGGTCCATTTGCGTCTTTATGCGACCACACGACGTTCGCGACAGCCGTTCGATCATGTTTCGACACGACAACTGGCGCTTTGGTCACGACCATGTCGTTGATCAAGGACGCCGATACGTCTGGTAGTACGTGCCGCAGACTAGTGAGGGCGGCGACTGTGGTTTCAACCTGCGCCAAGGCGTCGACGGCCTTTTCACACGCATCGTGCGCCAGAGCAAGCAGCACTTGATGCTCCGCCGTTGGCTGGTTGATTTCGTCGACGGCCGCGGCGTCGAGTGCAGCGATGGCCTTGTTGCATTTTGCTTGAAAATGGTCGCGAGTCGCCACGAACACTGGAAACTCGACCAGCCAGTCGTGGGCCATCGCGTTTTGCCAGAAGACGGACAGGTTGGACAGCGTAGCGACCACCTAAACGGTATCTTGGTATCAGCCGACAACAAACACCCTCATGTGTCTGCACCATATGATAGAGCATGGTCGCTGGGGCCATGGTTTCGAGGAAGTGAAACAACTTTTCCGCTTCGGTAGCGGCGTCAAACAGCGGTTTTTGCTTTTCCGCAGGCACGGCGGCGGCGTTCGCCCACATGATTTGCCACGGATTCGCGTCTTGCTGGTGGCTCATGCGACTCGAGAGATGTCCTTGTGGGAACGACGTCTTCATGTCATGGGGTTCCGACGGAGCTTCGTCGTGTTCACTCCAGTCACGCGGCGAATACCATCGAATAAAGTCGGCGAGGCAGCTCTGCGGGTTGGCTGCCTATTTCAAAGGGCACGTGTTGCATTTCCTTCGATGCAGAGCCAGTTGACTTCTTACTTTGAACGCTTGCATGTCGGACAGCATGGATGTGCTTTGAATTTGCTGGCGCAGCAGTGTCGACTCCGCTGACACCCCCAGTCTAAACGAGTGTAGTCAATGCTCGGCCGTGCTGCAGCAAATCTTGCGGATGCACTCACTTTGCCAGAATGTCTTGTTGCTCCTTCGCGATGTCTTCCGTTAGCGGGACAGGGTCTTGAGTAATAGGCACGTGGAGTTCCTTTGTCGGATGGTGGAGCAAATACTGGCCTTCCAGCACCTTCGCGACGCCCACGCAAGGCACTTCCTCGAGCGAATCAAAGAATTCATCGTCGTCATCCGTGGCGTGGCTGTGCCGTCTACTCAGCGGGTCGCGCACTCGTCTGGGCGCGACAATGAACACTTGTCTTTCAACGAAATGAGGAATCGTACCGCACGATGCACACATTGAGTAGTTGCATCTTTTGATGCAACAGGTTGAAATGAAAGTCTGGATTTGGCATCGAAATTCCATCCAGTGGGTCGCCTTCCAGCGGATTTAACATGCCATCTCGACCAAGTCCCTAAGCACCACCGTCACGTCGATACAATCCAGGTGGATTGGTTTGTACCATATACGGTAACAATTGATGGGTGCTCCACTGATCTCGTAGCGCTCGCACAAACTCGACCCACAGCAGGCATTGCACTTGCAAGTCCTCTACCATCGCCGCACGAGATCAACACCAGGGTTCACCATGTCAACTCACCTAGTCGAGACATTTGCAATGCGAGTCGCGACACCAATTGCCCGACAACGACGGCGTGCTGCAGACACGTGGGGGCGAGACACCACGGAGACTCCATCGCCTGGTCCGCGTCGAGAACCGATGCCAACATGGTTGGAATTTCTGCGTTGGCAGGGCTGACCCACGACCCTATCGCTTGGCCGATGACGGCAGCTGCGCGGGCCGCGGGAACTCGCGATTGGTATCGAGATGGAGACCGTTTCTATACACCACAGTTTAGATCTAGAGCACCACGATGTTGCGTACTGGAGACGATGCCTGGGCGGTGGCGACTTCACTCACGAGCACATCACGACTTACACCTCGCGCCTGGTGCAAGTTCGACATCAAATGTTGAAGGCTGTGGGCCATGGGAGGTAGCGAGCCTTCTTGAGGTGATTGAAGGAGCGCAGTCAAGAGGAACGTTGGGGCGTCCATGGGGTTCAGAGTCGAGTGGACCGCATTGTCCACGTACGTTCCTGACAAAGCACGACCAGTGAAAAAATTTTCTCCACGAGCACAAATGAAACACGCGATCGAGGCACGTGGTAAAAAGTTGGCGATGGTACCTTCTTGAAGAGCGGTCCACCCAGTTTTCAAAGCCAGCGACACGAGAGGGGATTTGACCGGACCCCACGTCAAGTACTTCCACAGCTTGTGGTGGCTGTGATTCAAGTCCGCGGCCTGCCTCCATTCCAACTATGAAGGGATCATTCGGTGCTCGCAGCAACCAGGTGAAGCGCGCATTACCAAGGACGATTCAGGGGTTGGTGGCGGATGGTGCCAGTCGTAATGATACACGACCGATGCCGAGAACGCTTCGAAGTTGTTGCTGGACGAAGTTGTTTGACCCAGCTTAAAGCGAAAGAGATCGAGAAGGCCGCTGACGCAGTGCTGGGATGTCGGCACCTACATCGACATGTCGTTCACTCGACAGATCTGATCGACAATCCCACCTCAGGAGCTTTGTTCGTGTCAAATTGCAACGAGATGGTGCTGTGAAGTCCAGACGTCGCAACGCCCATAAAATGCTGGTCGTCCAAGTCACCGATAACCACAAACGCGGGCAACGTGCAATTGCAATTCCCCAACGCGACCATGAAACTGCTTAGGAGCACATGCACCTCGTCATCGCGGACGCCTGCAGTCGTGTCCATCGTTATCGTTTCTTCCGTGTCATTGTACGCCAAGAGATGGTACCGATACAGGAGAAGGTACGTGTCGCATCCAAAGTACCGATGTAATGATTCAGGTGGCGACGTCAAGTCCATTCGCGGGTCCGCGATGCTGACAAGTGTTGGCGTGTAGTGGAAGGTAGAGGGTGCGCTATCTGGAGGTCGTGCGGTTGGTGGAGACGGTATTGGAGCTTGGAAGGTGTCTTCTCGATGCAACCGGAGTAGGTAGTGCGTTTTGTGGCACGAAATCACTTTAAACTTGTCCGTCGTCAATCCGTTCGGCATCGCTCCTTGGTCACCAAGACCCCATTGAAGCAAAGTGTCCTCCACTCCGGAGATGAAGCGCTCCCAGTTCGTCTCATTCGTGTAGTCGACGAAGCGACTGCTTGGATCTTCTTCCACGTCCGCCATCGTCATGCGAGAAATTTGCACTCGTGTTTTCAATGGAATTTCCGATCCGTTTCGAGCGAGCAAATATTTTTTGTGATGATATTCACTT